ATAGTGGGTTTCTTAAATACGAAATCTCCATTTGGAAATGGCCTAAGGCCTCTTTCAATAAAATCCCTATTGAGCTACGAAAATCGGTTTTCGGGGCCTTGGAAGAGACCAAACAGAGAAACCATATGGGTCACATCCAATGATTCCACTGTTAGAGACCATAGGCATTGATGATTCTGATGTTGCAGCTAAAGTCAACGCCTTTACCGAAACGCTATGGCCTCAAGCCAACTAGGGTATCAGGTCAGTAGTAAATCTTCTCGCCTATATTTGGACATATTTTGATCAAGCTTACTATATAGCACAACGATCAATTCGTTTTCCGAGAAATTATCAGAGCTAGACATAACTATAAGGAGAATGATCATGGAGAGCTTCGGACTCGTTAAATACATCATTGAACATCTTCACTCGAATTAGCTCTTAAGGGTAATGAAGTACAAAGGACCTGAAACAGAGGAGACAGAGTTGGGGCTAACCTAGCATACCGATAAAAACATCTGTCACTATACTTTACCAAAACCATGTTGAAGGTCTAGAAGTACAAACCAAAGACAACAACTGGATCAAAGTGAAGCCTTCGCAAGATTCATTCATTGTCATCATCGGAGAGTCTCTCCATGTACACCTTGGTTTTTTAGTAACTTCAGTGAAAAACAGAGTATTTGCTTGGTAATAAGAACAACACAATGTATTTTGATGTCACATGCATTGATGAATGGTCGATTATACTCTCCATATCACCGTGTGATGATGACTGGAACAGAGACGAGATACACGGTCGAATTGTTCTCGGTTCCAAAACCAGGACATATGGTGAGTTCGCCAGATGAGCTCGTGGACGAAGAGCATCCACGACTGTTTAAGCCCTATGATCATTTCGAATTCCTTAAATTCTTCTACACAGAAGATGAACAAAGATCTCAATCTCCTCTCAAAACTTACTGTGGAATGTAAAACACACACTCAAAAAACTTTCTCATTTGCATTCTTCTCAATAATAATTTATGTGTACCCTTTTACATAAAATCCAACATATATTAGAACATAAAGTTGGGGATTACTTCGCTCCTGCACTAAATGGTATGTTTTGTATTTCTATGATCAATGTAATAATCAGAAACATGATAGAACTGAATAATACCTGAATAATAAATCAAATATATTTTTATAATTTTTATGGAATACATTTAATTAGCTTAGATGATATATGTATTTTTTGGAAAAAATAACATTTTATTAGCTCAAATAATATGTTATTTTAGTTGTTTAGTTAATTTCCAAGAAAATGGTTTATTAATTGTTTCAGTACAATTATTTCATTTGTCCGACCGACAT